CGTTTAAAGCCCTTTCAACAGTTTGCACTGAAACTCTCATTTGGACCTTGCACCGTTTGGTTCCCATTGAAGTCCATTATATGGAGAAAAATCCTGGAATGTTTTCATCAAAAACCTTAATTTTTTTTCGACTGAAGAAAGAAAGACATGGACATCTTGGATGACATGGGGGTGAGTAAACTATCAGCAAAAGTTTTTTCAAAAGTGAACCACTCCTTTAAATCACCTCTCAACAAGATTTGTTTAGTGCAACAGCTAGATAGCATTATGAAAGTAAGCAAAGGAAGTTGTGAGACACTCCAGCTTACCTTGAGCAGCATGAGGTTATCAAAGCTGCAGTCTATGACCAGTCTGAGCGAGCTGGGCTCTGCCGACCTGCGCAAACGCTTCTTCCCCGTCCACTCCACTCCGTCGTCAGCCTGCGCTTGTCTCTCCAGCTTCCTCTGCTGTTTTCTCTCTTTCCGCTTCTGTCTGTACATTAATATAAAGATACAAAGTCTTTATTAATTATGCTTTGCAACTAGCAAATACGTTACACTGAACTATTAAAAGCATATTGTTTTTACACTTTTTTTGCTGATGTGAAACATACCCTAAATTATAGCTCGGCCATGTGTTAGTAGAGCAAAGAGTTTTGTCTTGTTTCATCATTTTGAATGGTTCCTTGCATTAAATGTTTTTTTTTAATGCCATATAATAAATGCCAATCAATTAAAATTATTCCTCATTCAGAATATGGATAAAAACTGTAAGTATACATAAATAATATTAAAATAACACAGCTTACTTGCGAAGTTCTCTTTGTTCTTCCCATTGTTGACTCTTGAGAAGTTTCTTCCTTTGTCTTTTAGACAGTGTTTCAGTTTCTCCAGTCTGTACGGTCTCATTTTCATCCTTTGTCGATTCGTTTTCATTGTTAGCACATTCATGGCTCCTCTCCTGCACTGCAGGTGCATTGGCCATATCAGTAGCCATTTAATCTGAAAACACTGGAGTAGCAAAAAATATTGAGTGATTGTTTTTTTTGTTTTTTTAAATACAACAGATATGGATTATCTCCAGTAGAAAGGTGTAAATGACAGAAAAATCAATGAAAAATTCCTAAGGATGTAGTTAGGAAAAAAATCATTTGTTAAAAAGAAAATATCAAATATGTGGTGTAAAGTAAACACTTTCTGGAGCCTTATGTATGCATATTTTACCAAAGGATATTAAAATGTTTTAAGTGAATGGTTCAATGACTTGAAAGGACCACGGGTCGAAACCGTGAAATGAACTGATTCAAAAGATTCGATTCACTGAAATGATTCGGCATCCCGAGCAGTAATCAAACAAACAATAAATACATACACACACCGATGTAACAAAATCTGGTCAAATTTTGACACCCTTGTGGTTACCGTATCCGCGTTTAACCGCGACTATGATGCCTAGAAAAGCTTTCAAACAAAGACGGCAACTTACAAGCTTTGTGTCACTTTTGTCTGTGGTATCAAAACAGTTATTTTATTGTATAAAGATAGCCTATGACTTCCATATTATTTGACATACAATACATGTGTTAACTTAAGATATTAACGTTACGAATACGATACAGGTTAACGTAAGATATCTACGTCTTATGATACAGGTTAATTTAATATCATCAGATGTTTTCAGAGTCTCTATGTCAAAATGATGACGCAAAACATCAGGGGGACCATAAAACAAGCATGCGACATACCTTATAAAACGGCACATATAATACTGTTAATTTACATAAAATAGCAGAATTGCAGGTATAAAAGAGAAAACTACCTCTAAACTGCTATCTTTCCAGAAGGGCTGTCATCGTGCGCTTTATGCTACGTCATTTTAAAGCGACTCGCTCAGCGTGGGAACATCAACAGTCCGCCATGTTGTTGAGGGCAAGTTAAGACATTCAGGCATGAGATGAGAAATCTCTGTAATGATGAGCCTACTGTAGGTTGATAACATCTGTTCTGAGTTTATATGTGTTAACCTTTGTATATAATACTTGTTTTTAGAAATCTGTAATCTTTTACACGTTTTTCTGGATGTGTAAGAATGGTCTTGAATCTCCCATGAGTCGTCATAAATTGTATATTCTATATAAATGTACACTTAAACTAGGAAGTTTAACATTGAGAAATGCTTATTGTTAAACTATGGACCTATACATTTTCAAAGGCAAATGCTTATAGTACTAAAAATGTCTCTTTTACAATTCTAAGAATTATGACAAAAACAGGGTTGGTGTTGAAACCATAACAATAGTTGTTTATAATGCAAATATTGTTATTTTGATGTATGTGATGTATGATGTATGTCTGACAGCATGGAAGGCAAAATACCGGCCTCCCAACATATAATGTAACACATATTATGTTTCATGCACAGGTGGTCAGCTGAAATATTCTGCCATGCACATTACATGGTAACAGTGCTTTTAATGTAGCACTGGCCGAAAAAAAGGCACACAAAACTAACCGTGAACTTTGCCTGGACATACATATTCTCAGAACATTGACAAGTTATGTTCTCTCGAAATATGAGCAGTTCTTTCAGTAACGTTATTAAAATGTTTAGTTCATATCTGGTCTTTGATAATGTTCGTCAGCACAAAAAAAAGTTATTTACACATCATTCATGGAAATGCATTCATAAGTCAGTGAATTAAAATGATATAACAGATGTTTGTCTTGATTCAGAGCTCATGTCACCTGAGTAGAGTCACAGCTAATATGGAAGTTTACATTCCCATTGCTGCATAGTAATGTGTGACAGACTTTTAGCTACCAGACTATCACCTTTAACATTAGCACTTTGCAACACATATTAGCATATGGATTTGTTGCTTCCTATATTAATTCCCCCGATGTAGGCACTTTACAGAGGATTGCTGTCAATGCGCTTAACGTGGATCTCTAAATATGGTTAAAATACTTTGTACAGCTGGTTTGCTGGACTCATTCTTTAAATGCCATTGTAATAACAACTGATTTGAGCTCTAAAATAAACTGGGCTCTCAATAAGTTATGACAACAAATGTTTTTAATACTAACTAAACTAAATTTTCACCTTAAAAAAGATTAAACTATTTTTAAAATCAGTTTAATGTATTTTAAGCTGAAATGACTTAAACATCCAAGTTGATTTACCTTAATTATTTTTTGTACAGTGAACTCATTGGATCATTTAGCAAATTACTTACTACTACTTTAATTTAAAAATGTAGTTATGTCTTTGGAAAAGTGTATGACAAGTAGGAAAAGGAAACAACAACAAAATGCTGAAGTACAATTTTTATTTTTCCTGTAACTTCAAACCAGAGAACATTTCACCCTTTTTGCATCTCTTTGCTTTGAATCTCAGTCTTTATTCTTTCTAAGACGCTATAATGCGTATCCTCATCCAATACGTCGCCCGTCCATCTTCACACATACTTCTAACCATTGTAACATAACTTTGTCCTCATGTCAGTCTCATCATTTATCAAGTGTCGCTCGTAAAACAGTGATTGCTTATTATTAAACAATGGCATTACAGGAACATTTAATGTCATTTTATGACATCAAGTGACTTCTGATTACAAACAAAACCAACATATAGCACATACCAAACAAAAACATTTTCACATATTTACTTTGTCGTGATAGGTATTTCACATATTTATTCTTTTTTATTATTATTTAAAAAAAAACCTTTAAGTACACCTTGTCACTGAAATTAAACACGCCGAAATGATATTCTCATTAATTTAATGACAACGCCACACCAAACTTTGAAAAAGGCAGCTTAACGGACTGGCCAGCAGCTCCAACAGCTGAAATAATGAATGAATTCACAAGAATACTAAAACAAGAGTTATTAAAAACTTCCCATGTGCATCAAAAAAAGCAAAACAAAAACAATATAACAGAGGATCTAAATGTAAGGCCTTTGTTATTAAAAGGTTCAGAATAATGTCAGTTATAAAGAATGTCAATTTTGTCAGCTCATCTTAAATACGTGAAAAAGCGAATAAAACCCATTATAATAAGTGTTGCTGTCTACACTGGATGTGACGCGGAGCAATGCGACAACCTCCGGACGGTAAACTTACATTTGAGACGTACTTAAATTTGATACGAAGGACAAATTTGCTTTGTCGCGACCAGTGTGGACAGCTTCTTCATATATTTATAAAAACATAGATGCCATAATCGTGATGAATTACAACCCAGCACTGTGTATTTTGAAATTGAGGTACAGTCAAACGCTGTCTAAAGCTACATCTTGTAAATTGTTTTGTATGACAGTTTCTGTATTCAAAATACAAGAAATCCCTTCTAATATCTTTCATTTCTTCGCCTGAATTCAATTCACCTGACCTTGATCCATTAACACTGCATCCAAAAGCAATGAAACTGCAATACCAAATCAAACCGACTTGGTAAACACATTCTCTCACACACTCATGCTATACTGGTACTGTGAGTAATAGAGGAAATACCATCCCCTAAAACACTTTGTTCACCACATCGCCACACATTTGTGTGTTTAATGGTGGTCTATTCAATACCAGAAAGAAAAAACAAACAAAAAAAATCACAAAAATATACAATATAAAATGTATAATGTAATTTGTTAAGCTCACTGAACACCTCTCAAGGAAGAGTGTTGAGAATCAAGGTCAGGAGAAGAACTTCAGTCAAGGAAAGATGGAAACCAGGAGAGATTTGCTGTGTTTTTTTTTTTTTGTAGAGAACCTGTTAATAGCCTTAACATGTATCAATTTAACTTACTATTTATATGGTTGATATTGTATATATGAGGAGTTCAGATGCAAAAGCCTCTAAGTGCCATTAGAAATTTTCTTCTAGAATTATCATTTTTTATTAAGCTTGTATATGTAAGTTCAGTAATTTCACTTAAATGGCAATTAACACGTAATCTTCATTGCCATTTAAGTGAAATTACTGAACTTAAATATACAAGATTGATAAAAAATGAAAACTCTTCATATATATATTGAATTATATACAGATATATAATTGTGCACAAACCTGGCCTATTTTACATTTCGATTGCATAGTTCACTGAAAACACTAATAATGTATTAATACTGTTAAATGTAATGATCTTTAGTAAATCTTAACATGAATATATATTTTTCATGCTGTTACATTATGATGCCAAAATTCATTTGTAGCATTTAAAATAATAGGTTTTATTTAGCACTATATTTTTAGACAAAAAATATTTGGCTAAAGTAGAGCTCTAATATTGGCTGTTAGCAGCCATAGCATGAAAATAATTATTGCCAGAATATTAATATAATTACATCCTTAGCAGTCATAATTTAAAAAGCTATAGGTAACACTTTACTTAAAACCTTTATGTATTGTAATAATGTACATTTTCATAAATAATTGTAACAGAAACACTACAATAAGGTTACATTTGTTAACATTAGTTACCAAAACTTGCAGCATTAATGTTAATATCAACATTTACTACTGCACCAAAGGTTGTATCTTTTAATAGACTAAATAATTTAATCTGAGCTGAGTATTTTTACAATACAATACTGTAGTCAGAATTGTGCAATAAAATGAATGCATGCTGGGCATTTTCTTTTTTCACGAATTACTGTTAATCAACCGCTAAATGCATTGCATACAATGCCTTAAAAACAAATTATACATATATATATATATAGTATTTAAAGGCTTTAAGTAAAGTGTTACCAAGTTCTCTTTAACCTTATAATCTGACATCATTCCGAGGGTGCTTAAAGTGATTTTTTACAATAATGTATCCAGCAAATGCACATGAATTCAACTACCCTTTGAAAAAAAAAAAAAAGATCCAATGCAAATCAACTTTCATAAAGATTTGACAAGCAGACAGAAAAAAAAAGTTATAACACAAGAACAAAGCAAGTGGGAAAAACGGCATTAAACAAGCAGACCACAGATAACAATGGGAAAAGAGTGGGGGGGATTTCATGATGACGGAGATTCCCAAATACGGTGATAAATTCAGCAAAAAAAAAAAGAACAAAACAGAAGAGACAAGGTGATGTCACGTGGCTCCTGTGTGAAACAAAACAAGAATAATATTAAAAACTTCTTCTGTCAGCAGTGCCGACACAGCTATCAGCCAACATGTTAGTTATATAAGTGTTAATTAGTGTCTCTAAAACCATCGTCTGCTTGCTAATAGCAGGATTATTGCTCATGAAAATATTGCAGTTAAGGCGTCTTACATTACTCTCTGCGCGGGCCGTTCGCACGCTAGCTGATTTGTTTGTATAATATCCCTCAGCCAAAGCTTCTGGCCCGCCTCTGGGTCTTTCCCTTTAACATAAGGCCGTCCTATAAAAAGGTGACCTGCCCGCGCCCCAGGAATCTCAGGACGATGAGTCTTGATATCCAGCAGCAGCTGGCACAACACTGTATCAGCACAAACACATGCCTCAAACTGGCTGACCTTTCTCTCCTCCCACCGCTATGCTAACAATGCCACGCCTCTTCCCTTCTGCCCACGGGACGCCACGCCACGCCACGCCACGCTCTTTATAGGGCCGGACGTATCACCGCCCATTCCATACACACACAGTGGCTCTTGAGGAAATAGAACAGTAGTCATGTATTTTTACGGCGGTGCTATTTTATGACTTGAGCGGGAGGTGTTAAGATAAAATCATTTTTATTTATAACCATATAAACAAAATAGTGTAGGTCGCACATGGGATTAATGTAAGGCATCTAACTTCATTTATGCAGTGCTGGACAGCGAGTTAGCTTTACTTCGTTACTGTAGCTACTTAAAGGAGTAGTTCACTTTTCAGAAAACTTTTGCTGATAATTTACTCACATAAAAATGTTTTTTTACTAAAAATGTAATTTCAAATTTTAAGCCAACTTAAGACTTTCACTTTCAACTGTACAGTTTTTAATTAGATTTTTCTATATTTTACCCAAATTTGGGTTCAAACTGCATTTTTAGAGTGAATGCAGATGGTCATGGGGAGGAAATTCTTAAACATATTATTTTTTTATGACTGCTTAAGTTAAGTAATTCAAATTAATAAACATAATGGCAATGATATGTCTACAGGTCTGATCCAAATATATACATCAATTGTTACATATTTATATACATATATCAATTGTTCTTTAGCATATGAGAACCTAAAAGGAATTGTTCACCCAAAAATTACAGTTATGTTATCATTTACTCACCGCCATGTAGTTCCAAACTTGCATGACTCTTTTTTTCTCCTGCAGAACGAAAGATGACATTTTTTAAAACTCTTGTTTTTCTGTCCTTTAAAGGGATAGTTCACTTTGAAATTAATTTTTGGTATGTTTTATCTTACCTCAAGGGCATCCAAGATGTAGGTGTCTTTGTTTCCGCAGTAGTTTCAATTTTGATATTTTTAGGTCAAACCGTTCGTATCTGTCAGTCATATAATGCAGGTCTATGGTCACCACCTCAAAGAGCATACACAGAGAAGTCCAAATTAAACATGATTTAATGACTCGTAAATGTAAGTACACATTGATGGCCTAAGACAGGAAACGAGCGGTTTGTGTGAGAAAACGAACGGTATTTATATATTTTTTACCTCTTGTAACCACAGCAACGTCCAAGTGATCTAAAGGCGCTTCGGTCTGCACAAGCGCCGGAAAGTGCCAGAAGTGATCTCTCGTGCGTGTACATCACTCATTGTTTACACAGAGATTTCAGAAGTGTTATCCTTCACTGTGAAGATCTAAACATATTTAGATATACAGGAAATTGCAATGGAAGACGATTTCGATATATCAACAGACAACGTTGAATTTTTTTCACAACCATAATTAGATCACCTCCGGTGCTTTCCGGCGCTTACGCAGACCGAAGCTCCAGCGCCATCAGAGTACTTGGACGTGACTGTGATTACAAGAGGTAAAAACTATATAAATACTGTTCGTTTTCTCACACAAACCGCTCGTTCCGTGTCTTAGGTAATCAATGTGTACTTATATTTACTAGTCATTAAATCATGTTTAATTTGGACTTCTCTGTGCATGCTCTTTGAGGTGGTGACCATAGACCTCCATTATATGACTGACAGACAAGAACGGTTTGACCTAAAAATATCAAAATACTGCAGAAACAAAGACACCTACATCTTGGATGCCCTTGACGTAAGCTAAAACATACCAAAAATTAATTCAAAGTGAACTATCCCTTTAAGTCAATGGGGTCCAATGTTGTTTTGACATAAACAGTTCTAACCAAGGACATTCCTACCAGTATGTATATAAGCTGCCAGCAAAGGCAACGTCATTTTTCAATTAAAAAAGAAAAATACTAAAAGGCTGTTAAAGCTAAATTAGACAGTGTAATTTCTCTGTGGCCAGAGAGAAAAGGGTGACGTGAATCATGAAGTCATCAAGACTTACAGTGCAAAAAAGGAAGAAGATCATTAACTTTTAATTTGTATAGTTATTTATTTTCAATTTTCTTTCATACAGGTTTCAACAATGTGAGTGAATAATGAAAGAAATTTCATTTTTGGGTGAATGTACCCATATAATTACCATCACTGATGTACAGTACTGTACTTGAATATAGTTCAAGGTTTGAAAAGCTTGTTCACTTTGAAATTATTTTTTGGCATGTTTTATCTTACCTCAAGGGCATCCAAGATGCAGGTGCCTTTGTTTCCACAGCAGTTTCAATTTTGATATTTTTAGGTCAAACTGTTCTTGTCTTTCAGTCATATAATGCAGGTCTATGGTCACCACCTCAAAGAGCATACACAGAGAAGTTCAAATTAAACATGATTAAATGATTGATGGCCTAAGACACGAAATAAGCGGTTTGTGTGAGAAAACAAACAGTGTAACCACAGCCACGTCCAAGTGATCTGAGGCTGCGGGCGCTTTGTGGCTGTGGTTACAAGAGGTAAAAATGACGTAAATACTGTTCATTTTTTCACGCTCGTTTCATGTCTTAGACCATCAATGTGTACTTACATTTACGAGTCATTAAATCATATTTAATTTGAACTTCTCTGTGCATGCTCTTTGAGGTGGTGACCATAGACCTGCATTATATGACAAACAAGAATGTTTTGACCTAAAAATAACAAAATTGAAACTACTGTGGAAACAAAGACACCTACATCTTGGATGCCCATGAGGTAAGCTAAAACATACCAAAAATTAATTTCAAAGTGAACTAAATGTCCCCAACTAAGCAAGCCAAAATCCAATGGCGACAAAGGCGGAAAAGGTGACGGTGGCAAGGAACCAAAACTCCATCAGTGACAGAAGTGACAGTGACAGTGGCAGTTCTCCTCTGGCCAATGACCGAACAGTGTATGATTATGAGCATTATAGGACAGATTTGCATTATAAGCAAAAAATTTTTGTGTGCATCATTTTTTAAAGCCCTCACCATTATAAAACATTCAATGCATGCAAATACAATGAAGAAATAATGATTTTGCACTTACGCTTTACCGATGCTCCACCACGAAGCTCATGGTGGTGCCGTCGAAGGAGGGGGGAGCGATGATCCTCGGCCCTTGCTGGGAGGTGATGCTGATGACGGGCTGCTTGCTGGTGGCGGGAACATGTTGAGCCACATGGGCCGTTTGTGACGACTTCCCCGATGGCATATAGTAAGGGCTCTCCATGTAAACTCGTTCCTCCTGCTGTCCCATGTGCGGATGGGATTTATCCCCATCATCTGCTTCGGATTGCATGGAGAGCTGGGACTGAATAGTGCGTGCGGGGATCATCGTGGTTGGCATGTATCCCGGGTAAAACATGTAGGTGTGGCCGTAAGCTCCCGGGCCGAGGGCGAGAGGGGATATCGGAAGCGGGACGGGGGTCATGGGGGGTTGCTGTGGCATTGGGACGTCCACATACTGCCCGGTTTCCGGGTCAAACAGACGCCTGGTGGCCGGTTGCACCGGAGTGTCCACCAAGTAGTAGCTTCCAGTGGTGGGATCCAGCAGCATCTTTCTTTGGGTCGTGTGGAAGTGCTCCGTCGGGATGGGGGAGGGTTGAACCGAAGGAGAGAAGCAAATGAGTTGAGGCTGAGCAGCTTGCATCGTGACAGGCAGGGGTGTGTGGTAAATAGTGGCGGTAGGGGTATCCGGGGACCGCGTCTCCATGACAAAGGATTGACGGCTTCTGGTGTCACTGTGAGCCAGGTAAGACGGCGGACTGGCCGTTTGGGTTTTACCTCCTCCGGGTGGGATTGTATAAACAGCGGATTTGCCCGGGCCGGCTGCGGACGTGGCGTGAGGCTTCACGGGTATGGTCAGGTAGCTCTCCGAATCTGCTGTGGAAGTGAACTGCAGAGGGGCGAACTCAGTCTCACTTCCGTTGGGCCTCTCCCGCTCTTCTAGCACACGCTTCGGATGAGATATCTTCAAGGAAATGGGTAGTTTTGGAGATTTGGGTGTCAAGGCCTTGAAGCTCAAAGATGCCGGTGATGCAACGTGTGTTTGAGGCTTCTTACTTGGCGTTCCCGTGAGCGCTTTAGGGACGTTTCGCTCTTGATGGGCCGATGACGACTTGTCGACTTTTTTAGGGGGCGTCTCGATTGAATCTCGCCTTTGCAAACTATCCGCAGGGGAATAGCTTTCCAGTTCCTCAACAGCGTGTTTCTCGCCGGAGATGAGCGAGAGCACGTGGCTGTCTGTTATCGGCCGAGGTTCTTTTTTCCTCTTCCACTCGTTCTTGTCAAAAACATACAGTTGCTCCATGGTTTTGACGGCAGCTTGCAATTTTTCCAAAGCGGCTTGGTTGGCCATCTTGGGTTCGCCTTTTTTCTCGCTGGCGTCGCTCGTTTTATCTTGCTTTCTTGTGCTCGCCTCAATCTTTAACCCGGTTGGGACCTCTTGTTTCGGCAGCCTGTTGGCTACAGCAACGTGAGGAGAGGACCTGTCAGCCTCAACTATATCCTCTGGAAATCGTCTCTTGGGGGGGTCTATTAAATCTCCGGATTGCTTTCCATTGCTATTTGTATTCACAGACTGGCATTTAATCACTATGGGTGAAAGAGAGGCTGAGTTCAGATGAGGACTCTGCTTTAACGTCTTCTGCTCTCCATCAGACGTCGAGTTGCTAGATTTGTTGTCGTTGTTATCTAAAGAGACAAAGTGATACGAGCTCTTAACCAATTTACGCACGTCTCTAACCTGGTGAATGGGGGTCTGTAGTTTGCCCTTGTTCTCTCTAATGTCTCTGACTATAAAGTGAGGCTTGTTGTCAGAGGACTCACCCTTGAAAGCCGTGGCGAGCGCTTGGCATCTGGTGTCCTCAGCTGTCTTACAGCCCAAATTGGGAGTCAGCAGCTTGGCGATATTGAACGGGTCGCTTTTGTTGTCCCGTACACTCCGCAGACTTATTTTGATTTCGGGCGACTTCGATGTCACCGCGCTGCGCGTCGCGTCTGTCACATAAAGTGTGTTCGAGCGCCACTTTAAAGCTCCGCTTTCTCCTCGATTGCGCGTGGAATAACTCACTTTCGGCGGCGGTTTCCCAAGGTCCCTCTCCGAGGACGGAAGCTGTATGCTTGGCACAAATAAATGTGACATTTTAGTGGGCTTGCCGCTCGCCGAATCGACGCAGAAGTTGGTTTCCCGCGGACACTCGCGTTGCGGTTTCCCCTCAAGAGTTTTGACGTTTTTATGTTCCTTTTGAAACTCTAGTAGCTCGCCGTCCCTCCACGATCTGAACGCGCTATTTTGGCTTCGAAGCAGTGTGCTTTTGGATGCTTCGAATGCTCCTTTTTTAGTATCATTCGCCGACTCTAAATTGGTTTCTGATGCACTCGTCAAAGTCTCCTCGTTGCGCCCGTCGTCTTTGGCATCGCTTGAATTGCCGTCTACTATGTCGCCGAGATCGTCCACGCTGACGATCGTGAAGTCGGAATCGGCTTCTGAGAATTTCGAGCTTTGCCTTTGCAGCCCTTTGGAATTTTTCTTGGCCGCTTTCTCGTGCTCGTGCATCGCGAAGCACGGAGAGGGCGCGTGGTGCGCCTCGCATATCTCGCCCCTCTCCATTTTGCGCTCTTGCTCGAACTGCATTTTCTTAGAAATGACATTTTTCAGGAGACTCGAAGCGAATACGGATTTCTTGTGTGTGTCTTCCATGGTTTCACCTGCATTGCAGGATCGCTTGCTTGCCTCGCTCCCTTGGGCGCTTGGCAAGGTGTGTGTAACTTCATCTGTGGAACGTGATCCTCCAGCGCTTTCGTTTACAGACTGGCCGGATTTGACATTGCATCGAAAATTGAGCGTTTCGGTCAGTCTTATGAGGCCACTTTGCCCCTGTGAGAACTTCCCCATGAGCTCAATCTTTTTAGTGGTGGACGATGCGTTTTTGTGGCCGACTAAATTGCCGTTCAGTGCAAATATCTCGACCGGGGGCGCTCGCATGCTGGTCAGCGTCAAGCCTGTTATCCCCTTGCCGTCCCTCTTTTTGGCGAAATGGAATTTGGGTGTGGAGCCGTTGTGCGCGACTAAGTTTTGATCTCGCCCCTTGCCATACTTTAGGTCAACAAACGTCGACCAGCTGTTTATTCCCAGCCCATGCTCTGAAGCAGAAGACTCACTTGAGGTGCTAAAGTTGATGGCATTGAAATATGGATACGCCAAACTTTTGAACGCCCTGGCAGTGAGATTGCGCACTTCCTTATCCGCGTCATCCAGCTCGCTCACCGCGCTGGACGCGCCGCTGGAATACTCGTTCACATCTTTGCTTTTCAATTTGCTGCCAAAGTGCAAGCGCCCTGGCACAGCAATGAAACACTTTGCGTTATCACACGCTTTGTCGCCCTTTGCATCCACTCCTCTCAAAACATAGCGGCTTTTGTCTTTTTCGTGATCTTGGATGTTGCGTAGCTCATTTACAGCGCGGGAAGTGGCTTTGATTGACAGGTGAATCTGCTTTTTTGACAGGCCCTCATCTGAGCTGGCACATTTGTCCGCGTCACAGAGATTGCTTTCAGGCTTACTGCTGACCACTGCTCCGCTCGTATTAGCCTGGTCGCTTTTCACACACGCTTCTTTCGTTTCATCGCTGTCAAAAGAGGCATAATCGACGAACGAGTAGACCTGGAGATCGTCCTCGAGTTCCCAGCTTGATCCCGTCTCAAAGTCGTAATCCGCATCATGGTCCAACTCCAAAAGCTCTATTTCGTGGGTTGTGATAAAGTGGGACTCGTCTTCGCGCGCGTCGTGATCCGAAAGCACCACAGTGACCTCATCGTCCGATTCACTTTTGCTGCTCAGATAAACTTCGTTGTATTGTTCATTGTTATCGTTTCCTGTGCTCTGCGCCTCCAAATTTGGTGATTTGGGCTTTTGCTCCGTCTTTTCGATACAGTCCGTTTTATCAGCTCGAGGTGTTTCCGAAGTTGCTGTTTCAAAAGAGGTCGACTTCTCCGCGCATTCCTCCAGTGCGCATTGATTTTCAGTAGATTCGCGTATTTTTCCAGTGGGAGGTTCGTGCTCTCCTTGTGAATCGCTCATGCCACTGATACCCTTAATTATTTCCAGTGGACTCGAGTCTCCAGTAAATGCCACTTTCTCTGTTTTGGTATCATCCAGTTTAAGTTCCAGCAGGTCGTTCAGATCCACATAATTTGACTCTCCTTGTGCGTTTATCAGGCGCATGTCCCGTTTGGAAAGGAAGTTCTTAAACGAATCGGTGTCTTCCCGGTAAATGAGCGTTTTCTCCGAAGCTGCCATAGGCTGTATTAGTGATGAAGCGGTAGTTTTCTTTTAGGAGAGACACCAGTCCCCAGGAATCCCCACTGCACTGCCCGTTGTCCAATCCTAGTGGAGTTGTGGCTCTGCTCTGCCTTCCTCACCCACAGTGGAGAGCAACGGCGTGGCACTCGAGAACGTCATTTCAGACGCGCGCCAGACGTTCACGCGACCTCCTTTCAGTGAGAGAAACGACACTACTCACCCTGCTGCACTTTCTCCTAGAATATGTCATGCATGTCCCCGTAATAATGCTATGGGAAGCGTTTACCCGACGACAAACGGAGACTGACTTCCATGACACAGCCTGTTGTGTTGCGCGCTGTCACTTAAAATGCGTATGACTGCAAATTTAGAGCTGATGACGAAATGCGAAATCGGCTATTTTAGAACGAGGATGTTATGTGCAGCGTGTTTTGTTACATACTGCAGACAAGGCTGACTCCCCCCGACACAACATTTGTGCTAAAAATGAATCCTCCTTAAGCTTCTCGCTCAAATGCGCGCTTTTGACGTGTCGCCGCCTTAACCCAACAATAGAAATATCTGTCACAGCCATATAGTCGCTCTCCGTCATGTGATGGAAAGGTTGACGCTCTAAATGGAGTTTCAGCATGTTTCAGTCAGTGATGAGGCAATGGTGAATGCAGTAGCTGCCCAAGTAAATAGTTGAAGAGTTGGCAAAGTGTTGGTAGTTAGGCTACATTTAGTTACAGTCGTCTCTAACTTCTTATAAAAACAATCTCGTTTTTCCTCAATTAGCCTATTCCCTGGAAAGTCTCGTTTTAATGCTTAAAACGTGCGTTTTGGAGCAAGGTCAGCACCACAGCGGTGGACAGCGCCTTTGCGGTAGACAATACGTCATTTGTTAATTCCCCGGAAGTAGGATGCACTCTTAACGTACTATGCAGATTTTATTTTGATTTTTTAAACATTTAAATAAACAATAATGTGATGTTTAACATATTTATCTTCTCTGTTTGCACGAACTTGTCAATTAAATAAAGTGAATCAGACAAAAATGAGTTGCCCATCTGAACATTGCGCACGAGGGGTCGTGGCCTCTCATGAATATTTAATTAAGTAGGCTTGAGCAACGAATAAGGACTTATGTACTGTAAATTGTTATTATAGGGGTTAGAGACCCAAACCGTTTACATTTCTTTAGCATGGCATACTGCTTTGTGTAAAATTATGCCTATTTTATTTAAAGTCAGTGTTTGAACTCACTGAGAATTTATATCTAACTTCTAAATATAAAATACTGGGTTGTTTCAACCAAAAATTGGGTCAAATATTGACACACCAAAATTTTGGATTAAAAATGTAATTTAAAATTTGAACCCAACTTCAACTTTCACTTTCAACTGTATTTTTTACATTTTTTGGTCCATATTTGACCCAAATTTGGGTTGAAACAACCCAGCATTTTTAGAGTGTATTAGAGTAAAAAATGGGTTAAATATGGACTAACCCAAACATTGGGTTAAAATGTAATTAAAAAATTGAACCCAATGGCTGGGTTTGTCCATATTTGACCCAAAGTTGGGTTAAAACAACCCAGCAATTTTTAGAGTAACTTATTTGCACGCATCTTTCACGTTTCCATCTTTAATCTGCTCGTATCTGAGCAAAGGTTTTACAATAAAAGCATCTTTTTAGTATTCATAGGCTATATATAATAGTTGTATGTTGTGTAAAACAATGTCATGTGCTGCAAAAAATAAAATTAGTTGAAAAATATATATATTATTTTTATTTTATTGGACTAAGGCAGGCATAACAGGAACAGAAAACAGTGAAAACGAAAACAAACCTGAGCTTAACTGTTACAATAAGGCCTATACCTTAAGTTTAAATAAATTTACCTATACCATAAATTTGTTAAGGATTTAAGGACTTTTTTGGCTTTGTTTGTGCAGTACATTCGCCTGCAGGAGACCTGTTAAGACTCGCAAATGTTTTGGACTGGTATATCATGTTGCATTCCTTCAGCAACTGTAGGCTGAATGAGAAGACCACCATAAAGACAGCCTGAGTCTGAGATCTGACCCAGTTTAAAGCACTAAAGATCCTTCATTACCAATTCAGAACCAGCCGCATTCAAGATGGCATATAGTATTAAGCAGGATGTTATGAAGGAATATTTGAGTTATCGTTATTATATATTTCACACATTCTAAACCATTTTCCATGTTGTGTTTGTTGCATGAGAATAAACACACACACACACACACACACCAGGCTGCCACAAACAGGGTAATTTTAGTGTGCTATTTAAATGGCTCCTGTCTGCTCAAGTGTGTTCAGATACTGTTACATTCAGTGGCTGTATTAATCCACCAGGTGTTAAATCATGTCATCTATTAATCATCAAATGGCAGTTCACACAGTTTAGAGCTGATTAGTTAGACACACCCGAATACAGCTTATATTCGCAGCCAATTTTTCTTGATTAATATATAAGTGCACTGTGAGTTGTGATTGGATCGCAGTGCTGCAGTGTCTTAATCAAGTGCTTCTCCTTTAATGTGTTTCTGAAAGCACACAATACAAGGACTTCTTTTAAAGCTGTCAGCTCTTAATGTTGGTATAAGACATCTTGTTTATTCCAGTTCACAGCAGCAGTGTTAAGGGTTTATCAGGCGGGATCTTAGATAAGTATTTCACTGATAACTTTGAGTGTTTGACCATCTGTACAAAGCCATTCATCATTCACCCGTATTGGTCAGGGCAGGGGCTTTCCAGCTTGTCCAGTATATTGATGTCAATGAGAGTGAAAATTAGCTAATTAAAAAGCCTCTCTGGTACACTCTAAAAAATGCTGGGTCAAATGTTGGGTCAAATATGGACCAACCCAAATGTTGGGTTAAAAAATGCAATTAAAAAATGTACAGTTAAAAGTGAAAGTTGAAGTTTAGTTTTTCAACACAACGTTTGGGTTTGTCCATATTTGACCCAAATTTGGGTTCAAACAACCCAGCATTGTTCAGAGTGTATGAATTATCATTAACCTTTCATGCAGCCCTTGTAAGAATCTTTTAAAAATGATACTTAAAGAAGGTTTTGTCTGCACACAGTAAACATGCTTTTTTAATTTTATTTATATTTTACCAAAAATGCTTTTAACCCAATGCATTGGGTTACAACCCACAGTTGGGAAGGTTCTTTACCACCCCATAGTTGTGTTACTCATTGGGTTATTAACCCAACATTATGAAAGAGATAGTTCACTTTGAAATTAATTTTTGATATGTTTTAGTTTACCTCAAGTGCATCCAAGATGTAGGCGTCTTTGTTTCCGCAGTAGATTCAATTTTGATATTTTTAGGTCAAACCGTTCTTGTCTGTCAGTCATATAATGGAGGTCTATGGTCACCACCTCAAAGAGCATGCACAGAGAAGTCCAAATTAAACGTGATTTAATGACTCGTAATTGATGGCCTAAGACACAAAACGAGCGAATACAAACAGTATTTATATCGTTTTTACCTCTTGTAATCACAGCCACGTCCAAGTGATCTGAGGGTGCGGGCGCTTTGTGGCTGTGGTTACAAGAGGTAAAAACGATATAAAAACTGTTTGTATTTATACACAAACCGCTCGTTTCCTGTCTTAGTCCATCAATGTGTACTTATATTTACGAGTCATTAAATCATGTTTAATTTGGACTTCTCTGTGCATGCTCTTTGAGGTGGTGACCATAGACCTGCATTATATGACTGATAGACATGAACGGTTTGACCTAAAAATATCAAAATTGAAAATACTGTGGAAACAAAGACAACTACATCTTGGATGCCCTTGAGGTAAACTAAAACATACCAAAAATTAATTTCAAAGTGAACTATCCCTTTAAGTGAGTGGTAACTTATCCATGTTTAAACCACATTTTTAAGTCAATTATTCACTCATTCATACACTCTAAAAATGCTGGGTTGTTTTAACCCAACTTTTGGTGAAATATGGACAAACCCAAACGTTGGGTTGAAAATAATTTAAAAAAGGTAACCTGATGGCTCGGTTTGTCCATATTTCACTCAAAGTTGGGTCAAAACAACCCAGCAATTTTAGAGTATAATAATATAACTTGCAATCAATCAATAAACAAACAGATAGTATGTTGTTTCTCCACAGGAACCAAAGTCTAATGTTTGTAGTTGACTACCAAATGATTGGATTTACTAGGAGTGCTCAGCAGTCGCCCTAACGACCCAGTTTAAATTTGGCCCATCTATTGCCCCGTCTGTCAGTGGTCCCTTACTCCCTTTCATAAGTATGCAATTTTTATGCAGTCGGCTCAAGGCACATTAGCCTTCCTGCCAGAATGCAGCGGTTGTCTGGAGAACTATATTAAGTCCGGCTTGCAACTGAGACTTTGTTTGCACAGAAACTCTATTCTCTGAGGATCCACATGGAGAAAATGCTTTCTGCCACTGAAAGTGTCTGCGATAGTAAAGTCAACGGTCTAGTTTTCAGTGTCACATTTCACAACTTTTTAGTAGCTGAGAGACGGGGCGCCCGCCGTCCGAATACCTGGAGGTCTTTAAAAACAAATTTACAGCATTAAAGTGTTAACTGGATAACGATCAATACGTCTAACCTTTCAGCCTTTAGAACTAAAGCATAAATCAGGTGTCATATAAATGCATGAAGGCACTTTTAGCTACATAAACAGCAAGCACTTTTCAAAAATATTTCAAGTGTCTATCACATTGCTGTTGCCTGTTAAATCTGTAGCATTAAAAAGCACATTGGTGATAATCTTCTTGAAAACGAAAATAAATATGACGTTGTGGAGAGTCAGTT